CTCATGATAGCTTTCTATGTTTAGGAAATATGAAGTGAGTTTTATATACATTAATTATCATTATATTATCCTAGGGCGAAATTCTTTTTATTGTCATATAGTAGTCTTTTATTTATTTATTTGGTTTTTCAAGACAGGGTTTCTTTGTAGCTTTGGAGCCTGTCCTGGAACTCCCTTTGTAGACCAGGCTGGTCTCGAACTCACAGAGATCCGCCTGCCTCTGCCTCCCAAGTGCTGGGATTAAAGGCATGCGCCACCACCGCCCGGCCAGAAGAAACTATTGGCAAAAGTTTAGCAATAAGGTCTTCTTTTCAGTGATTTATTTAAATATAGATAAATGAAACCACCCAATAAAGATGTAAAAATAGACTGGTAGGAACAAATCTGAAATAATCCAAATATATGAATTATATTGTAAATTTTCTCTTAGGTTCAAGAACACATAAAAGATAAAGCTGAAAGAATGGAAAAATACTTTGTGCAAATAGTGACCAAAAGGGATAATTATTTTGTATATGATAAAATTGAAAAAAAGTATGTCACACCAAAGGCTCCAAAACCACAGAGAAACCCTGTCTTGAAAAAACAAACAAACAAAATTTCTTCTGGGCTCTCTTTAGGGACTCTGACCCTGCCACACAGTGCCAATTGTCAGCTTCTCTCCATGACCCCATCAATTCTGGGGTTTCAATTTCAACAGAGGTTGCATATTCACCAATGGCTTCTCCTGGCCTCTTACAGTTATAAGCCTCTACTGATTTCCATGATCCCTTAATGACTTAAAAATCAACATCACCTGGGAAACTCCTACGTTACCAAGTTCAGTTGTAAGCACAAGACACAACATTGACCCCCCCCCCCAACAGAGTGTCTGTATGCTGACCCTGAGGAAACACTTCACAGATTTTACCTCGATGATGCTGGTTTCTTCTTCTTCTTCTTCTTCTTCTTCTTCTTCTTCTTCTTCTTCTTCTTCTTCTTCTTCTTCTTCTTCTTCTTCTTCTTCTTCTTCTTCTTCTTCTTTTTTTTTGGAAAATTTATTTATTTATTTTTAGTTGTTTTAAAAAAATTTTTTT